GGGTGATACATGCACAGATTACACCGTATTTATAGTTTGTGGCGGTCACCCGCATGCGTACTATAATTGTAAGTTCCTTTAGCCACTGCTTGAGGTCCTCCTCTTAAAATGTATTAGATTTTATGCAATTACTGGAAGACGTCCTAGGTCCACAAGGGCTTCTGTCCCTCGATTCCTCATCCGACGAAACCTGATTGAATGCCTTTCATGATGTATGAAAGTAGTTTCGGTTCACTAACACATCGAAAAGGTGCATAGTCCCTTGGGTTCTACTGAGAATATAAATTTAACTATGTATATTGTACTTATGAGTTTCCAGTAGACGTTTTATTTTTCAAAATATTCGGAGAGATGCACTAGACGGCGATTCCAGTGCATAAGGCATGAATCAGTTCATTTAGCTTGGTTCGGCACCGTTGCTTTGACGGCCCTCACCTATTGCCCCATACAGTTTCTTCCGTTCCAGGATTCAGAGCACCGATTGGCACTGCATCGTCTTGCAGCATGCTTCACTTCCACATCTTCCGTCTAACGCACTTCCCTATTTCTCCTTTTATTTCGCTTTTGGAAACACACACACACGTGGTGCGCGCTACCAAACCACAGCCATCGGTAATTACTTTATTTATTATCCTCCTTCTTCTTCCTTTCCCTTTTCGTCGTAACGTCTCAAAAAAACGCCTTGATCTGATTCCTACTCTCACCTACGTACATTTTCTGACTTCATTTTGGAATGCTTTCTAGTTATTGATATTTGCACGTACGTCCGTCCGTCTACTTTCAACGTTCAAATGCTGACAGTTTTATAGATATGCACATCGACATATCTATATGTTATGCTTGTTGTTCGTTTGTTAGTTTTTGACATGCGTGTCAGTCTTTGTAACTTAATATACCTGAGTTCTATAGCTTTATCACTAGCTCCAACTCTACCTTTCTTTTACGCAACCCGAATCCTGATGTTCGTAAACCATTTGACGTACCTTCACCTCCGCGTTTGACCTTACCACCGTAACTAAGGCAACCCAAGAGGACCTGGAGCATATGCAATTCCCCGTACTACCGCCTCCAGTCGCCCCACCAGCGCCCAGTTACCCTAACATGGCGCCGCTGATTCCCGTACCTCCACCACCCCCACCGCCGCCCCCGGGGCAACCGAGGTCTCTGCAGGAGTTCATGGACAAGGTCAAACTGTTTCCAAAAAACCAACACAATCAACTCAGTCCGCAGATCTGCTTCGACATTGCAACTGCCCTGCACTCCTCAAACAGCCGAGGAGCCAATATGTTTGCCCAACGGAAGGCACGGGCCTATAAATGGGAGGTGGGCGAAAAGGACTCTGTGGGCGCACCGCAGCCCATACCTGTACAGGTTGAGAGGCCAAAATTGGTCTCTAAACTGAACCAAATGCAACAAATGGCGACTGACTCTTCTAGCGCCCCTCCAATGGGCTTGTCGATGATGCGTAAGACTGAGGCCTCAATGTCTCCTAGGACCTCCCTGACAGTAAAACAAGGTGGGTGTGGTGAAGAAAAGTGATTGATTTAATTTTAACTTAACCCTCTACTGACGCTAGTCGTGTGCTGAGGAATGAAGATACCTGTCGTCATTTTATTTCCTAGAAAATTTCATCAGTTACATTTTTAATTTGAAAAGTCGGTTTTGGCAAACATGTTTTCGGCAAATCTTCATCAGGCCATTAACTTTGCAAAACGATTAAAATTTAAACGTGTAGAAAAATCAATAATTATCTGACGTGGACGTCAATTGG